GCAGCCAGAGTGCTCCTTGGAGGCCAAGATGACCAAACTTCGTCTCTTATACTTCGGACATATTGTCAGGAGGGACCAGTAGCTGGAGAAAGATATCATGTTTGGTAGGGTGGAGGGTCAGAGTAAAAGAGGAAGACCCCCAGCGAGATGGATTGGCAAAGTGGCAGCATCAATGGGCTCAAGCGTGGCAACAATAGTGAGGTTGGCCCATGATCGGGCAGTGTTTCCTTCTGCTATGCATAAGGTCGCTATGAGTCGGCACCAACTTGATGGCACCTAACAACAACAAGGTTAGAAATGACTGCAAATTCTCCTAAGTGTCTTGTCAGCATCTATTGACAGTATATATATGATTTTTCTCTTTTAAGTTGTAAATTTTATTTATCGACAATAAATCCCCGGGTTACAAATTCTGACTTACGGACAACTGCTACTTGTCCTTTACTATTATGTAAATTTGATTGAACTAACCTGTTGTTAGGTGATCTTGATTTAGTTCCAATTCATAGCAACCCTATGAACAAAACACTGCCTGGTCCTACGCCATCCTCACAATCTTTCTTATGTTTGGGCCAACTGGTGCAGTGTGTCAGTCCAACTAGTTGAGTATCTTCGTCTTTTTTGCTGATCCTCTACTAAGCATGATTCCTTCTTCAGGGACTGGTGCCTCCTGATAACATGTCCAAAGTATACAAGACAAAGTTTCACCAATCCCTATTCATAACAAATTCCTCATCACAATCATGTTCACTTGTTTAAATGTTTAAATCATGAAAAAGTCTTCAAGCCTTTCCTTACAGTAAAGGCTATGTAAGAACCATATGCACCTGTTCTGTCTTACCTACATTCAACTTAGGAACATATATCTTTAATAATCAAGGAGCTCTGGTAGCGTAGTGGTTACGAATCGGGTTGCTAATCTCAGGAACAGCAGTTCAAAACTACCAGCTGTTCCATAGGAGAAAGATGAGGTTTTCTGCTTCCATAAAGATTTACAGCCTCAGAAACCCTGTACAGGGTTGCTATGAATCGGAACTGACTCCACAGCACATAACAACAACAACAACAATCTGGTGACTCTGTATATCTAATTACTGAACTGTCTTCTACATTTTAGGAGTAATGTCTACATATCTGTCATAGTAGAGCATTTGTTAGGTATACTGCTGGAATCATTTGCTACTATTTTGACTCTGTATTTATGAATTTTCCATTTTTCCACTATCTTTGTTAGTATTTGGCATTAAATTTATTCTGCTTCATAAAGTAAATTGGAAACATAACTCATGGATTGAATATTGTAAATGATACTGGAATTATTCCTTCCATAAAGGTTAGCTAGAACTAATTTATTATTTATCTAATTTATCTCATGAAAATCATCTAGACTGAGAACCTTTTCAATCGCAGATCATCATTCACTTCCAAATTCTTCAAGGGTAATTGTTTTGCCAAGTTTTCTACTTCATACTACAATTTCTGTAACTTAACTATTTTTATAGAAGAGCATCTATATCCTGTTTTAAAATATGTTGATGTAGAGTTGTAGGAAGTATCTTGTATCTTTCTTTTATTAATCATTTCTATCTCTATGGTTATGACTCGTTTTTCATTTTGGATCAGACATTTTTAAAGGGAGACAAATCTTGAACGAAGTAGGATCTAAGTGGCCATTTCTTATATGGATGATATGGCAGCTCATGGAAGCAAAAAGACTTTGAAACTTGAGATTTCGTGTCCAGGATTCTCACAAGGACATTATTATAGATAAATGGATACTGCTGAATTTATTTAAAAAAAAAAAAAAGAACAAAACTCTTTCACTGGTCTCTGCATGAAAAAGTACTGAATGATAAGACCCACAAAGTCAGGCTGAAAATAGGAACCGGGTACAGTACACCAGAGTCACAGAACTTTTTGTCAAACAGTGAAGGTGCTAAGTAATCAAATTCATAGTATTTTGTTCTCCCAACATCAGGCTGTGAAACTGTTCCTTTAACTTGTATTTTCAACTTAAATAACTATGTTTTTAGTAAAGTATTTTCTAAGTTTATAAAAGACTTAAAACAGACCATTGCTTTATTATTTAAGAAGGGGCCCAATAACAGCCACTGTAGCCTTTAAGAAGGAGTTCTGGTAGCGCTGTGGTTACGAATCGGGCTGTGAACCTCAAGGTCAGCAGTTTGAAACTACCAGCTGTTTTATGGGAGAAAGATGAGGTTTTCTGCTCCCGTAAAGATTTACAGCCTCGGAAACCCTGTACAGGGTCGCAATGAGTCGGAACCGACTCCACGGCACATAACAACAACAACATAGCCTTTAAGACTTGTTAGGAAAAGGTGGAGAAAATGTAGGTGGTATGTCAGAGTTGTTTAAAAACAAGCTGACCATGTTGTTTATATTATTGGGGTTTCGTATACTTATGACAGACATCAAAAGACAATGTTGATATTTAGTGTGGAAAACCTTGGTGGATGACATTCTATAGACAGAATACGGCATATGTGTTTGACAGTCAGTTTACATTAAATTCACATTTATAATTCCAAAATATAAATTGTACTTATTATGTGGCTCACCGCAAAATATATCCAACTTTCCTAACATATGTTTTGTATTCTGATATCCTTCCAATTAATACATTTTCATACACCACAGTGATGATTTCTATGGTTTATAAAGTATTTTTATGCTCTTTTCTATAAAAGTCTATATCACAATTGGACCATGAATTCTGTTATGGCAAACTCTCTGCCCAAATTCATCAAATTGATATAATTTTTCCCAAGGATGAATTCCATGATACACAGTAAAACTGGATATCTTGCTCAAGGCTTTCCCACAATTATTAGGTTTTCATTCCTGTAGTCATTCTTCCTAGCATGAATTTTCAAATGTCTATTCAGGTTGGGCTTCTGGTAGAAAGCTTTGCCACATTCACTGCATCCATAGGGTTTTTCTCCTGTGTGAGTTCTCCAGTGTTTATTGAGGCATGACTTTTGACTAAAGGATTTTCCACATTCTCTGCATCGATACGGTTTTTCTCCTGTGTGCATTTTTCGATGTACATTGAGGTATGACTTCTCACCAAATGACTTCCCACATTCACTGCACACAAAAGGTCTCTCTCCTGTATGTGTCCTCTGATGTTCTGTGCGGTGTGACTTCTGGGTAAAGGCTTTCTCACAAAAGGAACATTCAAAGGGCCTGACCCCTGTATGAATTCTCTGGTGTTTAATAAGGGTCGATTTATGTGAGAAAGCCTTCCCACAGTCAGAGCAGCCATATGGCTTCTCCCCAGTGTGACTTCTCTGGTGCCTAATGAACTCAGACTTGTAGCAGAATGCTTTCCCACACTCACTACAGACATGGGGTTTTTCTGTCGGTAGAGCCCTCTTCCGTTTGTACACAAGAGAGTTGGTTGCCGGTTTATGTATAAGTGCTGGGTTATGACTGAAAACCTTCTCACACTGACTGCATTCCAAGGGGTTTTCTCCATTGAGTCTTCTGTCGTGATTTATAAACGGTAACAACTTCCCATATCCAAAACATTCATATTGCTTTTTTGAACAGTTGCTCTTAAAACCAATCAGGTTTAAATTACGTTTTAAGCTCTTTCCACATGCGACCCAATTACTGGGGGTTTGAGTTGGAGGGAAAAGCTCAGCCCTCCGAAGCGCTATTCTCCCAACCTTATTACAGCTGTGGCTTCTTTCCTTGGACAATGTTTTCTTGCTGATGAATGTACCTTGCCTCAAAAGTAGGTCTTGGTGTCTTTTCCTCTGGACATTAACTTCCCAGAAGTCCTCTAGATAAAGCACAGGGAACCATTCCTTATGAATATTTCTTCTTTTATGACCTGGAATAAAACTACTTGAGAATTGGCCTCACATTTAAAGGACACAAGTATATGAGTAGAGAGCATCAGCTGTGACCAGACACAATGAAGAGAAGTAGTCTATGAGTAGAGAAGATTCTGGAAACAGGCACAAATGGAATGGGACATTAGTCACAGAGTATGGAGAGAAATAATTTTATATTATAGAATAGTAATCTAAAAATAATAGTACACAGCAGGAATTGGCAAGCTCGTTCTAAAAGGGCAGGTGAGTAAATATTTTAGACTTTGTGGGCCATACAGTCTGTTGCAACTACTCAACTCTGCTACTGTGTAAAAACAGTCACAGACAATATACAGACACACAGACGTGGCTGTGTACTAATATACAAAAACAGGCAGTCAACCCAAAAGGCCACAGTTAACTGGTCTGTCTCTGTTATAGAGGACAGGGGATGAAATGTCATCTATCACCTTGCTACTGAATGTATGGTTTTCCAGTAGACAACTTCAACCCCACCTGAGCTTGTTAGACATGCATAGTCTCAGACATATTGAGACAACCTCAGACCTACTGAATCAGAAACTCTTAAAATATTAGAGTTTGGCAAGCACTAACACTGTAGTCATCAGGGAGTTCATCATGTTGGACTAGTCAGTTACAAGAAAAATGGCAGAAAGCAATATGGTAAACGAGATAAAAGAATGGAATCAACAAAGCTAGCTAGGACTTAAAAAGCAGGGGTTCTTGACTTGGTAGACAGAATTCAGGGGTTTGTAAACTTGGAAAGGAAAAATACTACATCTTTATTTTTCAGTAGGCTCTAACTGAACCTAACATTTCCTTAGATTGTGAATGTAAACAACAAAATGCACTAGCATTAGTAGTTCCTGTGACTTTGCATTGGTTTGTGAATATAGTGTTTTCTTGTCAGATTATGTTGTGGTTAAATGCCGTCAAGTCGGTTCCAACCCACAGCGACCCTGTATGTGGTTTCCAAGGAGCACCTGATGAGCTTGAACTGCTGACTTTGTCATTAAACTGACTTTGCAGTCCAGTGCAATAGCCCACAACGCCACACCAGGACTCCTGTCCCATTACAGTAGTTGGGAAAGAGACCACTTGTGAAACAATGTGCACATGAGTTCTTTGAGAGAGCAACATCATGAGGAGGACAGCTGAGTTGGGATGGCAGAAAATGAGCCTCTGCTTGGAAGGAAAAGGTTGGATTGGAGGCAGAGAAACAGAGGCTACAGAGCACCTGGAACAGAGGGCTGATTAAATACATTTTTGTGGGATTTGCAATGAAACAAAATTCTTGAAAGAGGAAAAAGGGTGATAAGCACAGTCATATGCAGCAGAAACATACCTCAGAGGGCACAGAGCATTGGTTCTGCAGCCTGGCCACAAGGGTTCAAATTCCTGTTCCATCCGTTACCTGCTGCCAGCTCTTACGTAAGTTTCTTAAACTGGCTGTGATTGTGTTCTCATTGATACGTGGTAACAAAGCTGAGCAGCTCACAAGTGTTGTAAGGGTTAAATGCGTTGCTATATGTGAAGTGCTCAGAAAAGACCCTGTTACATCAAGAATGCTCACTAAGTGTTACCCAATGATCCTAATGCTGCTGCTGCTATTGAAAGCTGTAGGATGGTAATTTCAAAGATGGCATTTTGAGAAGCATGAAGATGACTTGAATGCTTTTTGGTTTTCATACAGTCACGCACCACATAACATCCAGTCAGCCACATATACGTCGATGGTCCCATAAAGCATAGAGTTCAGAAATCCTGACTGGGATTGATGTTGCAAAGAAGCATGAGTTGGTTAGTAAGTAACTTGAATTTTTGATACAACTGACTTTACAGGGGTTGGTTCATAATGATGAGCTGTACTTAATCTGGGGACTGCCTATATATAATTTGGTGTCCACATAATGTCCAACTCACATAATGTCTTGTTTCATAGAACGAATCGTGAATATTAAACGATGCATGACTATTAATTGTATATAATTCAGTTGTGTGACTACAACACTAAGCATAAGTAGCATAAAGAGACCTTGAACAACATTTTAAAGGGTCCAGTCCTTTGGCTGGATTTATGACACTCACCCTGACAGTAGCAACCTGGGCGTGCTGCCTCAGAAATCCATGGCGCTTCTTCCTCCTCCAGTTTAAGTATCACATCTGGTTTGGTGCCTTCATAACCTGTTCCAGGGAAATGATCCAGGCCTTGGGCTGAGTTCCTTGGTCTTCTAGGTCTCTCAGGGAGGACATGCAATTTTAGAGGCTGCATAACAGATGTTGTACATGGGAGGAGACTAACTGTATACCTATTTCTCATCCAGAACCCAAAAGGAATCTGGAGTCTAGGCCCAATGAAACTCAAGCCAACTCAATGAGGCAGCTCAGTATAAGATTATAAATACAGACTGTGCAGCCAGACTATTGAGGTTCAAATCTTGGTGGGTTACCCTGAGCAAATTATGTCACCTCTCTATGCTTTAGTTTCCCAATCTATGAGTCACTGGTACCAATAGCACCTAATTTATGAAGCTCTTAAGGGGTTTAAATGATTTAATAGTTTGAAAGTGACTAAAACAGTGTCTGATACATAGAAAGTACTCAATAAACGTGAAAGAAATAGATAAGACACTCCAGAAGTTCTACAGCTTTTAGCAACAGAAAAAAGAAAGGTGGTCACTCAAGTATAATGTGGGAGTGGAGCAGTCTTTACCCACTGAGACGAGGTTACTATAGGTCTCCAGCATCACATCCCGGTACAGGGCCCTCTGAGCAGGATTCAACCGATGCCACTCCTCTTGGGTGAAGCCCACAGCCACATCCTTGAAGGACACAGATCTCTGCTGAAGCTGAAATGATAGACATTGAATCATATGGAAAAAATGTTGGCAGAGGTGATTCATAGGTAAGAACTTACAGTCATCATTTATCTATCCATGATTCCTTTTATATTCTAGCTTTGTGCTATAGAGAAAAACAAAGATCATGTTGGAAATCACCCGAGGTTATTCATAATTACTGACTGGAGACTCATTGTGTGCAACAACCATGCTGGTTGTTGAGGATACAGACTCAGATGGCTCCTGACCTCAAGGAGCTCACAGCCTGGAACAGGGAAACAGCATATAAAGCCATCAGGGTGACATGTGTCTTAAGAACTGTGAAAGCAAGACATTCAGCTATGGCACGAAGAAAGAAGTAAATAATGCCTTTACTTGTTCAGGGTCTGGTTTGACTTCAGAGCTTCGGGACGCCTTCAGTTTGTGGAGCTCAGTCTTTTTTCTGTTGGAAAATGGGGAAAAAGCACTCCCTGCAAGGAGAATAGTATGCACTAAGGGATATAGCAAGTCACTCAGTGTTAACAGATGAGTTTCAGTTGTGAGGGATACAATTAGAGACTTGGGGAATCTATCAAGGGAGATGTATGTGAAGAATCAAAGCACGTTCTGGAAGATACATGATGAATTTCTCATACTTTACATGCAGCAGTATAATGATCACACTAAACTTACTGTAAAAAGTTAAGGATTTACATTGCATCCACAGAATAGCCACTAAATAAAGCAAAGAGCTGTATCTAAATTAAACAAAAAATATAGAATTAAAAAAATATTCAAGTAGGGGGAGGAACAAACAAGATGGCGGATCAGGTGGAAGTGCAGTAAAGGAACTCCACCAACAAC